CGGGACACGGAAGTTGAGAGTGAGGAGAGTGATCAGGAGGTCCGGACCCAATCCTGGCATGGACTGGACCAGTGGCGGCGGGACTACCCACCCGCCGAGCCTGTGGAAAGTGGCCCAGAGGCCAACTCGTGACGACGAAGGGACCGGAGCCGCGAGACTGAGGGACACATGAGGTCAACGCACGAGAACGGTTACAAAAAGAAAAAAAGAGAGAGACGAAGGACAAGGGCGCGTGCTTGATGGTGGACGCGGCACACGAGGGATCAATTTTTGTCTTGTCGGCCATAGTTGAAAAAAACACGTTGGCTTGCATGAGCAGGTGATCGTCACTGCATCGTGAACGAGCACGTGAAGAAGAACCAGCGCTTGCACTCTGGAGAGATGGCTAACAATCCACGCAGAGAGATGTAAGTCACCACGGGTTCGAAAAAGAGATGTCGAAGAGGAGGGAACACACGAGAAAGAGGACGGTTGCTAGGGAGAGCAGACACAATTGAGAACGAGAGGGAGAGAGAGAACATGCGTGAAAGTCAGCCGCATAAGGGGAGAACAAGGTCTTCTCTGTCACTGTTGATGTCAACTGCTAAACGGGACGTGTGCGTGTACAGCGTGTGTGTTTGGGATGTTGACATTATCTTCATACGAGGCTGCGCGCGCTCTTCCGGGGGAGGGGCTCCCGACTTCTGGGCTAGACCAACCGGTGCAGACCAGCAAGGAGGTGACACACGAAAGATGCGCCTGCATGCTTTCTGCCGCTGATATCAACCCAAGACAAGAGAGACTCCGGGTCGAGTGTGCAGCTTCGAGGGGTGAGCAACTGAGATAGTGGTAAGTGTGCTAGCTAGAATCTGGCGCGGGCCAGAAGTGGCAGAGAGGCAGTTCTCTGCAGACCCTGTGAGTGTGGGCTGGAAAGCAGCTCGCGATGATGAGTGAGGAAGTTGGGCAACTACAGTGTGTGATCAGACTTCGCGGTTACAAGAGTAAAGATATGCACGGTCAACTTACAGTGCGGATGGTACAACGGGTCCTCGTGTGAGCCTTCCGCGAGCTCGAGCTCGTCCTTTGTGCCGAACATCTTTGGTTAATTAGTTAGCGGGAGTTAGCTGAGCGTGGGATAGGCGAGACGAGCAGGCCCGTATTGCAAAGTCAATACGTTTACCCGCGATAAGCCACCTACATCGTTGATAGTAATCCCAGTGTATAGTTTGATCAGTTAGAGCGCACTTCCTATGATTGAGGAGGAAAAAGAGTATAACGCTAGCCGGTGGGGGCGCATACAAGTTGTGTGCAGGATCATAGGTATCAGAACTCACAGTCAATAGCGGTTTGGCTCGAGTCTCAGTACTCCCCGTGTTAGCAATGGGGTAATGTTATCTTCAACTTCTGAAACGTTGGTTGCTGTCACAAAGAGCATGTATTGTGTGATAGGAGACTGCAGTGAGATGATGGCAGGCAGTGAAGCGGGAACCCTTGGGTTGAAAGAACTAATAATTGGGGTTGGAGGGTTTCATCTTGCTAATCAGAGACGAACGGGGGTCGGAAGGATTGTTCGTGTTACCTGTTGAGTGACCGAGTGACTCTCCTTGGTGTTGTGACGAGAACGTGTGCTCCAGTAAAGATCCGCTTGAATGCGAGGAAGGCTTGTGTGTTTTGTCTCATGTTTCCTTGACTGATTCTGGAGGAACCTGAACACGTGTCCCTGTCATTATTATCACCCCGTCCGCTCAAAGAGATCACACCGTGTATCAGTTTCAAGCCAAGGGAGCGGCATAAGAGACAATAGTTCACAAAATGATTGTTAGACTTGTGGCGACCTCTCGGGAAGCGATCGGACTGCGGGATGGCTCGCACACTACCAGTCCCATCTCCTCCCCGTTAGTTTGATCACCAGTGGTTCAATGGTCAACCGAAAACTACCTCAGAATGAGATAAAGGATACGAGAACCACCGTCAAACGCTGACACGTGAGTCTAAGTGCTCTGAATTCAGTCATGAGGGCACTACACGCTTTCGAACGAGCGATCGTGATTATCCTATGAGTGCATGTTGCTGACTGAAGTCGAGTGGGTTGATTGGCGGCTAATCAAATGATAAATGTCTGTGATCAAACCAGTTAGATAAGGAGAATCTATTTTCACCCTTTGCTCCCCTTGGTCACTGTTTTCTTTCTTTTGTTTCCTTTCTACTTAATCACCAACCTCACAGTTCTACTCGGACGAAGCCCTGCGTCGTATGCATTCCTCTCGGTAAATCGGTTCACTGGCTCAACCACTCTGAGAGAACAAATTATGCCGGCTAAAATAATTGGACATAGAGAAGAGTGATCTACCTGTTTTGCTGGCTCCCCTCGCTTCGAACCCACCGCTAGTGAGAATGGGATAACTAAAGGTTGTAATTCTGTCAAGTCATCTGATGGGTAGGAAGCAACGCATCCTTAAGGGAAATCGTTTATCTACTGGCTAAGTTTCTCATGGATGGTGACTAAAGAATTACTCACAACGTAGGCCGTGTTACTATGAACAAGCCTCGTAATGTGACTTGTGCCATACAGTGAGGCGGCATAACTGTTTTGCATTTTGATTTTATACTTGAATGGGATTGGTCTGGGGCAATCCCTATATGCTGCGCTAGAACACGTTCAAGGCAGTAACCAGACAAAGTTTGCCCTGGGTCATGTCCGAGAATCAATGAGGTTACAAATACGAGGGAATCCGCATCACCTCTGTGAGCATGTCCAAAATCTCTGACCTCAGCCAAAGCGGAAGGAGCTACTTTTGGCAATACACCTGGTGGTACGCGAGTGAGAGCTCGCCTCTGGTGCTAACTTGTGTATTCCAATTGGGCAGAACTTGTTATTAGGAGGGAACACGTAATCCCAACACTGGTGATATTTTTTTATTGACACTCTATTGGACAGTATAAACTCTCGATTATGCCTCATTCCTGCATCCCCAAGGCTATCCCTGCCAGCAGCCAACTGAGATATTATCGAAGGTCATTCTGGCGTAAAAAGAGCGGGTATTCGGGGTCGTCATGTTCTTTGTAGCATGTAGGCATGATTCCGGTCCAGTAGCAGGCGCTTGAGCTTCAAGCTGAGATGAGCGATGCCCAACCCACAGATAGGTAACGGTATCCTGCTACGGGGTCCAGCATGGGACACCAAAACGTTCGTACACGCTAGGGGAACTGACTAACTGACCTTCTTGCGTCATCAGTGAGTGGAGGGAATGTCTAGCAGAACTCATACGAAATACATGAGAAGTGATGCCCAAAATCTCCCGAGCATCGCTTGCCAACCCTGAGCACTGGCAAGCCTAGCGTATGGAATCATAGTTCCAGGTATGGACCTGCTCTAAGCTCGCTCCTGCCTAAGCTGGGCCCGGGAACCTCTCGTACTCAGAAATCAGCGCCCCAAAACATGGTAGGGGCTGGGTCGGAGACCGCCCCGCTGAATTTGTATCGCCGTCGCTAATGGCCATCAACCGAGAACCGAGGGTCAGTCAGTGAGTCCTTGTCGCGAGTTCTGTCAGGGCTCCCGTGCTCATATCTGGGTAAGTTGCCTCCTGCTTTTGCAATGGAAATTGGTGGCCATGATTAACCGTCACCTGGTCTCTATCGACCCCAGGACCAGTATCAGCCCATCAGTAATCCTGTAGCAGATTTTCAAACAGAGTTCGCTACCATCTGGCTCCTTCCACCGGTCAGACCCTTAACATTCAAACGGGTTAAGGCAAGGGTCGACAGTCAGGTTATGACTTCACCGGCGGAATCAAGGTCTGGGATGTATTTACCGGGTGATATTAGACCTACAGAGGTTGACAATCATCTCCTTACCTTCCCTGCCTCTAGTAAACTGGTGTCTAGAGAAGAAGGAAGCCATGAAGGAGAGTGAAATCTTAGTGATGAAGTGCAAGTCCAACGGAGACGAGAAGGAGGGATTGATAGAAGATGCTTGTCGAGACATGGACTCTTATACGCAGTATCAAAGGGAATTTGCGGTTGGGATGGCCGAAGGAAAAAGGTACATCGAATACGTGCTTTATTTTTACAGCAACAGTCAACATTTTATTTTCCAGCATTCTGCCACGAAGAAACCAGTGTACAGTGACTGATTATTCTAACAACATACATTCATTCAAGTTATCATAAAGCATCCGTCAGATCCAGTCATTGTCACTTGCCTCGAGGACCATTTTCAATTGGACAACGTTCATAACAATCAAGATCGTGTCCTCGTCAGAAGACGTAGGATCAGTCTCAACACCCGCTTCAACACATGAGTGCGATCCAACCATTCCAGTTCAATAGACGGTCCTAACCAGTCTCATCAAGATTGCTTTCACACACTCTATTCTAGTCAACCATTCAACCAACATAAACAACAGACACAGTCGTGCCTCGCTCGGTATGCCTAAACCTTAAACCAAATTTATTTCTTGTCACTTGCAAAAAACCAGGGTAGGGTCTTCGCGCCGACAGCGCCTCCACCTCATTGAAGTGGTGTTGGACAAATGAGGGATATAGAAACGGCCCCGGTACGCCAAGACGCATGGTGCCAGATCCGCAGTAGCCCGTACAACCCGTCGCCGCACCGTGCGATTCCTGGGACCCGTCATCACCTGATGGGTCTCGGTATACGACCTTCGCTCCCTCCTGAGCACCGCGATGATGAGGAAATGGTACATTACATTCGGCCACTGACCGGTCTCGTAGATTAGCGTTCCTGCTATTCTGGCCGCGACACATCCTTCAAATGGGGGCTCCAGATATGGCTCCCATGCGGGATTAGGACACGGGGCCCCCTCGATTGTTTCGAGCCTGATGGTTGCAGGCTCCACCATGAACGCAACATCCGTTGGGTGGACCGTTCGACTCGGAGGAACTACTGAGGTCAATGATCGGGGCACGCCTGGGTGGCTGGCGGAAGCGAAAAGGTCTTGCGAGGATGGGGGGTCCGGGTGCGGGACATAGTACGCTTCCCACTCCTCCTCCTGTTGGTGCTGATGGGCTGGCTCCATCAAGATTGAGGCCGGGAAGGAGCGGTGGCTATGATGTCGGCTCCGGAGGGTTCCCACGTATCCGAAATCGGTTTGTTTCCGCCCCTTCCCCCGACGGAGGTCCCTCGATTGGTGTCGCCTTGCTCTCCGGAACGGGATCTGGCTTCCGCACCCGCCCGACCTGGTTCACCTCTTCTCCGAGTCCCACTCGGCTTCCTTGTGCTTCTGGCGATGGCTGGCGACGTCTCTTCTTGGGCGTCTTCCTGAGGGCCCTCGGGGCTACTGGCTTGGGGTAGGATGAGGGAGGCCGCAGCGACCTCCTATCGGCAATGCTCACCACCTTTTCCCCTTCCCGCGCGATATAGTCCGGTATCACTGCCGCGTGGTAAGATCGTCGCGGAGCCGATGCTGTTCGCAGGCGGAGTTGGAGATCCTCTTCTTCGCTGGCGATCACTTGTGCAATAGACAGCAACTCAATATGAATGAGCTCCAGTAGTCCCGACCTGCTCGTCCCCATCTCCCCGAACGGGTATAATGCCACCATGCCCTCCTTCTCCGGCTTGGGTCGCGAGATGACGTAGTACACCCGCAGGTTCTCGACGATGTTGTGGTCGTCGTACAACATGGAAAACAGGAACATGCCCAGCACCACCGATCGATACAACGCACGGTGCAATTCCCACACGTCCTCCTCAACTTGCGGCAGCAGCTCCACGTCCTCCAGCTCCACCAAATGCTCGTGGAAGTTGCGCATGGGGTAGGGACTTTCTGTGAGTTGATAGGGGAGGGTGGTGTAAGAAAAGAAGGGAGGCATTTAGTATGAGGGAGGGGGAATGGCTTGGATGTTTAGAGGATCAACGGGGGGGAGAAGCACGGGCAACTGGGGCACAAGTACCGGCGGTCCGTCCGGCGTCCATCGCAACAGCGAGTAGTATGGTGTGAATCGATGGCCCCTCCCCTGCTCTCGCGCCACCGATCTCGCCACTTGCACCGCGTACTCGCGCAGGAATTCCACATTGGTTCGTGGTGTCGATCGTCCAGGGGCATCAGATCGCTGATGAACGTAGCGACGCTGTGTGCAAAATTGACGGCCATCTGGAGCGTGCAGAACTCGATGAATATCCTGGTGGTTTCCCGACCAGGCAGCTGCGTAACGTCCATGTACACCCCCGCGTAGGTCACTCGTTCGCTCAAGAACGAGTACGTGGCGAGATCTGCAATGCTCGGCCCGGGCACGTTCACCTGCTGGACGTCGTACCGCAACTGCCGATCATCATTGAATCGATGCCGCAATAAGTGATCCTCAATCGGCGTTTGGAAATGCTCAACTGGCTCATTCCCCTGCTGCTGCTGGCTCATCCTCCGCGATCAAGTCTTCAACCTCAAACGGCGAAGTAGATTGGAAGGAGGAAGAAGAAGAAGCAAGTGAGGACGAGGAAGCAGAGGGAGAAAGTTGGGACGAAGCCGGAGCCCGCTCGCGATCCAACAATGGTTGGAATGGGCGAAGGGCAGCAGCGTGGTGAGTCAGCGGCCTGGCCTATGCGCCGTGCCGTGGGATCAGCTTCACGGAGTGTTGGCCTTGCGCGCCAACTTCCGTCACCTCGTAAATGCCTGTATAGCGAGGGTGGATCTTGGAGGAGCGAGCGGATTTCCGTACCTGCAGTACATCCCCGATCTTATAGCGGGGCAGTGGACCAGCGGAGGCATGTCGGTTCTCGTAATCTCTGATCTGCCGCTGGTGCGTCAGATCTACGACTCTCTGTCGCCTTCGGGCTAACGCTGGGTAGGTCCTAGCCACCAGATGTACGTAATGCTGGGCCTTTTCTCAGTGTTGAGCCCGGGTCACTCTAACTTCCGTACCCACTAGAGGTGACAACTGCACTCCGGGGACACTATTGGTTCTTAGTTGAAATGGGAACACCCCTGTACTGCCGTGTGGGGTAGCTCGATAGACGGGCATGATGTTGTTGACTATGACAGGCCAGGGCCGGGTATCTCCTGTGGTAATGTTCCGTCTAAGGGCGGTCTTACTAATTCGATTGGCGTTCTCTCTGAGCCCGTTGGCCTGTGGCCAGTGCCCAGGTGAGTACAAAATCTTAACGTCGACCCTTACGAGATGTCGTTCCACCTCCCTCTGGAATTCCAACCCGTTATCCATGTGGACCTCTTCTACGTCCAAATGCATGCACAAAAAGCGATTAATATACTAGGCTACTTCTTGCGAGTTCCGAGTACACATAGGATAGGCCGCAATCCATTTGGAGAAATGATCGACGACCACTAGAAGGACATTGAGCTCGCCCTGATCGACGGGACCTTTTGGTACATTGATATCCGCCGTATGGATGCTAACTCGTTGGAAGGGGCGTTCTACTCTAGTCGGTACCATCGTTCGTGGCATTTGTACCGACGCCTTATCGGCCGCACAAGCCAGGCAGTTCTGGATGATGTATCTGACATCCTCCCGAATTCCCGACCAATACCATCCGTTTTTCTCTATAGCTTTTTTCGTGTATTTGACCGTGAAATGGACCGCATCCTCTTCGTGGGCAGCTCGTGTCCAATCGAAGCTAGCGAGAGGGTGCGGAACCGTCAGCCAACTAGACCCGCTATCGTCATTGTCTTTCCGTTTTTGCAAGACTGATTCCTGGCAATGATAATCATGAGCTCGCTCCGTGACTCGCCGACGTTTCGCCTTGGTAAGCTCCGTCAGTTGGTCTCTCTCGAGTCTTCTCAACAGGAGGAGATCCGTTCAGGCTTCTGCTTTACGGACACTTGGCAAGAATCCATTCTCTGTCCTGGCTTCTACATACCGTTTTTTTGTAGATACCTGGTTCGTTCGACAGTTGGGATAGTTCCACTTCTTCTCGTTCCGGTACCTAATGCCAGATCCATAGGACCAGATCATGCGGCACTGGCTGCATCATACCCACGAAATAAAACTAGGTCCTCCGACGTGTGAGTCCCCCTGGTCCGGTATCATAGGCAAGGTGCAAAAAAAGCAGGAACGCAGGGATAGGTTAGGGGGAGAGTGAGGGATAGACGGGTAGGTCGAAGAGCCTGGGGAAGATGACGGGGTAGCCGTCGCTTCAAGAGGGGGCGCCATCTTGCGCCCCAGTGCTTCTTTTGCGGATGACATGTACTTCTCCGTAGCAAGGCTCCGTCAGGGGCGAAGCTTCCTTCCACAGAATGAGCCGTTCGTTTGTTGGGCACTTCTTTGGTGGCTGGAGGCGAGTCAGTCCGTCCGCGTTTTTGTGTTGCTTGGTCGCGTAGTGGCGGATGTCGAAATCGTAGTCCTGCAACCTTACTGCCCACCTCCCCAAGGTTCCCGTATAATCCGTGTTGTTCCGTAAGGACAACAACGGCTGATGATCCGTCACGAGAATGAACTTCTGGCCGTGGAGATACGGTCGAAAGTGCTGGATTCCCCACACCACCGCCAAACATGCACCCTTGGAGGCTTCGTAATTTGCTTGTGCCTGGCTCAATGTCTTCGACGTGTATTCGATAACGTGCTCCTTGCCGTCTATTCCTTGCTGAGTTAGCACCGCCGATATCGCCTGCGGCTGCCAATCGGTGTGCAGAGCGAACGGTTTCCTCGGATCTGGGCGCGCCAAAATCGGCGCAGTAGTCAGGGCCTTTTTGAGGACTCGGAAAGCCGCCTCGCACTCCGGCATCCAGATCAGTTGTTCTTCTTTCTTTAGTAAGTTGGTCAGAGGCTTGGCGACGCGAGCAAACCCTTGGATGAACCGTCGATAATATGAGGCCAGGCTGAGGAAGGCTCGAACTTGAGTGAGCGTGACAGGCGCCGGTGCTTCTTGCACTGCTACCACTTTCCTTGGATCCGGTTTCAAGCCATCCACCGTGACGATGTACCCCAAGAAGGAGATTTTCAAGAGAAAAAACTCGCTTTTCTCCAAGGTTACTTTGAACCTCGCGTCTTTCAATGCATGCAAGACCCACTTGACATGTTCCACATGGTACTCGTATGTGTTGGAAAAAAACAAGATATCATCCATATACACAATCACACAAAAATTTACCAGTGGTTGGGGCAGGCAGGTTTTGTTAACGAAATCTGTGAAAGCCATATTCATGGCTCACTGGAACGTCGCGGGTGCATTGCATATTCCCATAGGATGATAGGACACTCGAACAAGACAAATGTCGTTTTGGGCCTGTCTTCCGGTCGTACTGCGACATGGTGGAAACCGTGTCGGATATCGAATTTCGAGAAAACTCGCGCAGACGCGATGGCATCCAGAAGGTCGTCGATACGGGGTAACAGATAAACGTCCTTGGTGGTTATTGCGTTTAATTTTCGATAGTCAATGCAAATGCGGACCGCCCCGTTTCTTTCGGCACGAGGACCACCGGGAACGACCAGGGACCTAGGGAGGGTTCCTCCCACCCTGGACGCTGGAATTCCCGTACCCTTTCCAAGGCTAGCTGTCGTTCTTTTAATGAGTATCGGTATGGTCGACGATGTATTGGGGCGAGGTCCCCGGTATCAATCGCGTGCCTTATCAGGTGCGTCAGTCCTATATCATGGTCTTGAATACTGACCGCCTCGGGGTAAGCCTGTATCACCGCAAGAAGGAGGCGTCGATATGCGTTGGGTACATGAACAGGAATCTGAATATCGATGCTACCGCTAGGAAGGGAGACCGTTGATGTGACAGTTGGGACCCGAGCCGTTTCCTCGGGGGAGCTCCAAACAGGGAGTTGTCGGTTTTTACCGAATGTACGATGGCCACGAGTTGACTATCTGCCGGAGTGACCGGTTCATTTTCCGTTTCTGTTTCTCCATCGATTTCAGCTTCGACCGAGGGTTCCACTGAAAAGGACTGCAGGAGTTCCCTCGGGCCCCATGCGTTTTCAAGGGTCACGGGCTGAAACGCTATCCCTTCGTCCAAAAGCACGACGGCCTCGGCGTCGGTGAGTAGGGGTCGAGGGGGCCTAAAAGATAGGTTGCATAGCCCCGTAAGCTCGACAAATCTCTCCGGGAGGGGGTCCGTTCTGAGATACAGGGTCGGAGGGGGTTCCGAGAGGTCAATTATTCGTGACACCCTCGACAAAGGTTCCCCTGTCACAGTAGAGGAGAACAACTGACCCCAACGAGATTCAATCTGGCTAACATTTGTCGACACGTGTCGCCACAGTTGGCGGAACCGGTCTTGACCTCGTATCGGATACCGGTCGGTTTCGTCTGCATCCTCAGTTCCTGTCGCAGGTCTTTCTTCGCCCATTGACATCCATTGAACCATGTTGACTCTGCAAACCTCGGTGGAAATGCGATGGGCGTGCTGTGCGCGTACACGCACGACCATTCTCATGGGTATCGTTTGGGGCTTACGGTGGGCCGAAGTGAGCACCATCTTAGAACAGTCAAAATGCATCTGTGGGCCTACCGCCGCCTGCCACGGGATTCCTAGGAGCACATCATACGCCTGCACATCCAACACAATCGCGTCACATAAACAATGCACCCGCCCAACTCTTATAGGAACATCCATAATCCGTCCTTTACAATGAAATACTCTCTTATGTGGCGGATACATACAACTCGTCGGGTTGGAGGGGCTGAATTTGTTTCTCCCGACCCAAACGTTTTGTCAAGCTCCAAGAGATAGCTATGGCCGACGATCCCGAATCTAGGATGGCGGCCGAGGGACTTCCCCAGACCTCACAATCACATTCAACACTTTCCAGGTAATCGGGTACGCCGGAAGAAATACTTCGGGTTTCTCCAGTGGTGGATCCACGACATGGATCATCCCGACTCGGTTGGCCTCGTGAGTTTTCAAGGTCGAGGGTTGAGCTTTGATATCCACCGACGGGTCGTGGATTGCCAACTTTTTACCCCTTCGGCCTTCTTCGAACCGGACGGTTCTTCAGGCATCTTTCAATTAGTTTCTCGTTGGCGGCTTCCAAAATTGTCAGCAAGTAGGGAATAGGTACGGGTATCCGCA